TTTTTTTTTTGAGATGGAGTCTTGCTCTTGTTGCCCAGGCTGGAGTGTAATGGTGCAATCTCAGCTCACTGCAACCTCTGCCTCCTGGGTTCGAGCGATTCTCCTGCCTCAGCCTCCCAAGTAGCTGGGATTACAGGCACGTGCCACCATGCCCAGCTAATTTTTTGTAGCTTTAGTAGAGACAGGGTTCCACCATGTTGGCCACGCTTGTCTTCAATTTCCGACCTCAGGTGATTTGCCCGCCTCGGCCTCCCAAAGTGCTAGGATTACAGGCATGAGCCACCAAGCCTGGCCAAAACTGCAAACATTGTTAATGTCTATCAACAGGGAAAAGTTAAATTATATACATCCCTGTAATCGAACATTGTACATCAGACAAAAAGATAAATAATATATGCAAATGGGTACATGGAAAGAGCTCTAAAATATCTTATAAAGTGAAAAAGGCAAGTTTAGACAAACGAATACAATATCCCACAGAATGAACTATTTCCAGAAATGAAGAAGTATATGGGGAAAGGTCTTGAAGAATACACTCCAAATTGATTTAGGTGAGTACATTTGGAGAGGGATGTGGGGTTGGAAGAAGGACCAAAGGGGATGTTCACTATCTATAGCACCTTAGTTTATACAATGTTAACATGTTTAACATGTGATCTTTAAAATTAAAAATAAACAAAAATATTCCTTTGAAAAAATATAATATTTTGGCTGGACATGGTGGTCATGCCTGTAATCCCAGCACTTTGAGGACAAGGCAGGAGGATCACTTGGGTCCAGGAGATTGAGGCCAGCTTGGGCAACATAGGGAGACCCTGTCTCTACAAAAAAATTTAAAAATTAGCCAGGCATGGCAGTGCACCCCTATGATCTCAGCTACTCAGGAGGCTGAGATGAGAGGATTTCTTGAGCCCAGAAGGCAAGGCTGCAGTGAGCTCTGATTGTGCCACTGCACTCTAGCCTGAACACAGAGCAAGACTCTGTTTCAAAGAAGAAATACATATAAATATATATAGTATTTTAAAGAAAGAAAGGGTACCAAGGCACTAATCTGAAGACATGAATTCTTGTCCTAGCTCTGCACTTGCTAGTAAGTTACCTCACTGCCTTGCGCTTTCAGTGGCCCCACCTGCAAGAAAGGGAGTAATCACTGCCCAGAGACTTAGATCATAAAATGAGATAATATATATGACAATGTTTCAAAAACTTCACAGTGCACTAAAATTCCTTATAATTAAGATATATCCGAAGCTCGTGTAGTGGTGGCAGTGTCTGCAGTGGCTGCAGTGAAGAGAGTTTGGTGCCATGTCTCACACTATTTTGCTGGCACAGCCTACCAAGAGGCCAGAATGCAGAACTTATGCAGGCTACGAATCTGTGAATGAATACATGGAAGGCGTTTGTAAAATGTATGAAGAACATCTGAAAAGAATGAATCCCAACAGTCCTTCTATCACATATGACATCAGTCAGTTGTTTGATTTCATCGATGATCTGGCAGACATCAGCTGCCTGGTTTACCGGGCTGATACCCAGACATACCAGCCTCATAACAAAGACTGGATTAAAGAGAAGATCTATGTGTTCCTTCATCAGCAGGCCCAACAGGCTGGGAAATAATTGTGTTGGAAGCATTACGGGGGATGAGGGGTGGGCTTGGAACACAGGTGTGTACAGCGTGCTATAGTGGAAGTTTTGTATTATAGTAATCCTGTTTCCACTTTGTTATACTTTAGCCAAGTTGACTGTATTAGATGAAATGTGAGGATTTGTTCAGTCAGAAACCCCCATTGCCCCCTCTTTTTTTCTTTTTTTTCACTTAAACATTTTTATGATGATTTAGATGAAAATTGTACTTTGTCAGTACAACTGTTAGCTGTTCATATCTACTTTATAACATTCACTATACTAACTCTTCTTCAAGATGGGGTGGGGGTGGAAATGCAGTTTAGCCATGTCCTCAAGATAAAGTCTTGGTAAAAATAAATAAATGTTCTTTAGTTATATATATATATAAAAAAGATATATCCAAGTTGAATCAGGTAACTAAAGTTTGGAGGGAAAGCCAGTAAATTGAATGATATGACCAGGGCCTAAATTATTTTAATGAATTGGATCAATGAGCCTCAAACAACCGAAATAATTAAATAGGGATAAATATAAGTTTTGTTTATAGGTTCAGAAAGTGAACGGCCCAAATGCAGGATATTAAAAAAAACTGAGAATCATTATTGTGAAACAGTTTTAGAAGTAGTTTATAATGTAGATGCTGAAAATAAAACACAATTTCAAGCCATATTAAGAGAAAGCTTGGAAGAGAGATGTGTTCACAGTCACCCACTGGGTCATCTACCAGGATACACTCATCCAAGCTAGTTGACCAGTTAGAAACACTGAAATATTATCATACAGACTTATCTGAACTTCTCTCCATTGAATGCCCTCAGCTTAGCATTTAATATGATTTAAATAATTTTCCGTGTTGTTTCCATTATACTGTAAGCTGCTTGAGGACAGGTACCATGTATCATGTTTATTCATTCCCTATAAAACTTAGAGGAGATCTGGGCTCATAAAAGACATTTAGTAAATTTTAAACTTAAACAATTTTTTAAGACTGATGGTAATGTAGTTCCCATGTATCATTCTGAAGATCAGTAATTACATATATGGTTCCAATAATAGATATGGGGGAGTTGAACCTGTACTGCCAGTTGATTTTTAGTTTTAGTTTTTTAGAGACAGGATTTCACTCTGTTGCCCAGACTGGAGTGCAGTGGCATGACCATAGCTCGCTGCATCCTCGATCTCCCAGGCTCAAGCTATCCTCCCACCTCAGCTTCCTGAGTATCTGTGGATCACCACACCCAGGTAATTTTCTTTTTGTAGAGATGGGGTTGCCCTATGTTTCCCAGACTGGTCTCAAACTCCTGGGTTCAAATGATCCTCCTACCTCAGCCTCCCAAGTGCTGGGATTACAGGCATGAACCCCCATGCTCAGCCCCCCGTTTTTCTTTTTCACTCAGTTGCCTCATTTTGACCCTCTTGTCTTTGTTGCCTTTTGATTTTTTTTATAACTTCATTTTTAAATTTAGCTTTCTTACTCTGCTTGTGCCTTCAACATCTTCACAACAATTTTCTCTTTCTTGATAAGGAAAGCATCTTTCAACTTGTCATGGGCACATTTGGCACACATGGGACCACCTTAGGCCCTGCTGACATGTTTTTGGCCAGTCTTATAAGAACTTTAGGTCTCATAGCACGAAACCCTCAAAGTTGGCCTGGGCACAAACCACATGCAGATTTTGGTGCTTTCCCATCCTTCTTGGTGTAAAGGTAAACAATTCTATTACCAGGGGTTTGGGACAGCAGAATTCTGTTAGAGGCTGCTGTAGGAAGCCTATGACAGCATGTCAGACACTGACATTCTGAGTGCTTCCAGACAGCATCCCTGGAAGAGCTGACCTTGTTTCCTTGAGATGTCTTTTCTTTAAAGCAGAGTGCAGTAAAATTTCTATTGATTCATTACCATATTATATTAGTAAAAATGTTATGTGCAGAAGATTTTATGCTACAGGTGGCAGAAATGGCTGAGACGTCCGTTAGAATGTGAGAAAATTATCCATCAATCAAAAGGTACCAGAGGAAAAAGCTACTTAAGCTTGAAAGCCCTTTGCAGAGTTTTGTAAGGATTCAGGCACATACAGTCTTCTTCTGTGTTAAAAAAAAAATCCACTTAGGCAATTAATTTTCACCCTCTCAGAGATGTGGTATTGAGAGGCAATATGTCAATTGGAATATGTGCCAAGGTGGGACCAGTGTCTATCATTTCCTGTTTCATTTCTTATGAATCATTTCTATGATATCATTTCTATGAATTTCTATTAATCATTTTATTACCAATGGCAGGTATCTGAGTTACTGGCAGTAAATCTGTATGGGTCTGCCTCAGTTTTTGCCTCCTCAGAAGAAAGAATTCACCTAAGGGGCATAAGGCAGAAGTAGAGACTGAGGAACATCTTAGAAAAGTAAAAGTATATTAAAAAGCTTTACAACTGAAATGAAAGGAAAGAAGTACATTTGGAAGCGGGCCAAGTGGACAACTTGCAAGACAGTGCACACTTGTTTTGCATGGTGCATGGTTTGACCTTTGACTTGGGATTTCATATGTTGCCATACTTCTGGGGTTTTGTCTTCCTTCTCCCTTAATTCTTCTCTTGGGGTGAGCTGCCCACACATGCAATGCCCTGCTGGCACTTGGGAAAGGAACATGCACAATGTGTTTACTAGAGTTGTATGCACACTAACTTGTAACACACTTCCCTTACCAATCTAGCATTCCTAGAGGAAGGTTATATACCAGTTACACTCCATTATGGCATGCTTGAGCTCACCCACCCAACTCCTGAGATCTTATCAGGACACTGCTGATCTCCAGTTTCTGGGTTTTTCTATCTATAGGAAGACTGCCTTTCTCTGGCACTGGCTGCAACCAGTTACTATTTTAGACAGAAAGTTAATAACCATCTGATCCTCACCTGATAGTTGCCTGACATTCCTAGTTGGGTATGTGGGGGAGTACTCTCCTGCTCTGCTCATGTCTGACTAGCTACCCACTGTAGCATTTCCCCCCTCAAGAGTCCAAGACCCCAGTTCTTTGGAGAAAATGGATGAAGGTGAGTCTTCTATAACTGCTTCCTGTTGACAGAGGGGGTGGTGGTAGTGGGTCTCTGAGTCTTGGCCTCGTGCTAGTTGTCAGGGCAGCAGGCTGTCTCCACGAATTGGGGAAAATGGTATCCAGCCAGGTCCAAGGAAGACAGGAGCAGGATTTTGCCTGTGTTGTGTCTCACTGATGGGCAGTCTAGGGGTCCTGTAGAAGGGTGAGCCTTGAATATTGAGAGGACATTATCCCTCACTGAGGTTCATTTGGAGCTTAGTGGCCTGAAGGCTAGAGGAGACAAACCAGATTGTTAGAATTAGAAGAATGTTAAAATAATGGAGTGAGGACAGCTCCAAAAAAAATCCTGAGGCTGCCTACACACTCAGGTAACTGATGGCTATAGTCATGCCTACTAAGACTTGGGTACATGAGGTTGAAGCAAATTCCAATGTGTGCCCAGAATTAGAATATTGATTCAGATTTTTACATTACCCATCCATTTTGTTTCTTGTGACCTGCAGCCAGAGATCACGAGTTGGTTCACAGGAATAAGCAGGATTAGTCTAATATGCAGACAAAAAATTAAAAATAACTGATTAGACTAAAATATATTAATATTAAAATAACAGTGTATCATAATTTTTGAAACACACCTTTTCTCTCTCCAGTCCTCATTTTTATAAAAAGCCAATCATGATAAAATGATTTGTTTGCAAAATAAACTTTAATCTTATTATACTTGGCCTGATTATTTACATACAGTACATCAAGAATAAATTATTTGCCGTATAGCCTTCTTTTTATTTTTATTTTTATTTTTTTTTTATTTATTTTTTTTTCAGTGGAAAATAACTTTTATTGAGACCCCACCAGCTGCAAAATCTGTTCATGGCATTAAGCTCCTTCTTCCTTTGCAATTCGGTCTTTCTTGAGTGGTCCCATGAATGCTTTCTTCTCCTCCATGGTCTGGAAGCGGCCATGGCCAAACTTGGAGGTGGTGTCAATGAACTTAAGGTCAATCTTCTCCAGAGCCCGCCGCTTGGTCTGCACCAGCAAGGACTTGCGGAGGGTGAGCACCCGCTTCTTGGTTCCCACCACACAGCCTTTCAGCATGACAAAGTCATTGGTCACTTCTCCATAGTGGACAAAGCCACCCAGAGGGTTGATGCTCTTGTCAGACAGGTCATAGTCAGTAGAAGCATTGTTCTTGATCAGCTTGCCGTCCTTGATAAGGTAGCCCTGGCCGATCTTATAGATCTTCTTGTTGATCTCAGTGCGGTGATGGTATCCTTTCTGCCCAGCACGTGCCACAGAGAAGGCCACACGGGCAGGATGCCACGCCCCAATACAGGCCACCTTGCGCAGGCCTCGGTGGGTCTTGCGGGGCAGCTTCTTGGTGTGCCAACGACTGGTGACCCCTTTGTAGCCTTTGCCCTTGGTCACCCCGATGACGTCAATCATCTCGTCCTGCCCAAACACTTGGTTCACAGGTACCTGCTGCTCCAGCCTCTCACGGGCCCAGTCCAGCTTCTCGGACACGGTGCCTCCATTCACCTGGATCTCCATCAGGTGGGCCTTTTTCTGGCGCAGAGGAAGCAGGCGCATCTGGGTGTGGGCAATGACGCGGATGACTTGGCAGTATTTCTTCATGCTGCTGAAGTCCTTCTCCAGCTGCTTCTTGCCATCCTCATCCTGCCATTTCTTGCAGTACTTGGTGAAGGCCTTCTTCTTAGATTTATGCCAGTTCTTATAGAAATGCCTTTTGCACTCATCGCTGATGTGCTCAGCGAAGACAGTCTTGAAGGTCCGGAGGCCTCGTGGGGTTTCCACATAGCCCACAATGCCCACAACCACCATGGGTGGCGTCTCCACAATGGTCACAGCCTCCACCACCTCCTTCTTGTTCACCTTGGATCCTGGCCTATCGACCTCCCGCACGATATGGGTCATGCCAGCCTTGTATCCCAGGAAGGCTGTGAGGTGGACCGGCTTGGAAGGGTCATCCTTGGGGAAGCTCTTCACCTTCCCACGATGCCTGCTGCTGCGCTTCCGAGGCAGGAAGCCAAGGGACCCATGTCTGGGAGCGGAGAACTTCCTGTGAGACATCACGCCGTCAAATCCAGACAGTAGAGCAGCCTTCTTTTTAAATTGGATTTGATGGAACTTCATTCCATAAGGAGTCACAGATAAGACTTTATTTTTTATATGAATGTACATAGTTTATTTAACCATGATCAATTGGAATACTTTAAACATTTTAATTTGTATGTGATATTTTATACATTCAAATTTATCAAAATTTCTGATTACTCTGTCAGTATAGAATTAGAAAAGTTAAATTGCTAG